TGCTGATTTCCAGACGAGGTGGAGATGGAGATGCCCTACTTACGCATATCCCTTACTTTGTGCAGAATAGGGTCTATGCCTCAGAAGCATTTCCAGGTAAGACAAATAATTAAAGAATCACCACATGTAGTGCAATTGTCATGAATACAGAGCAGCTAATTGGTCAAATACTGTACCATACTGCCACTAAGTTGCTGCAAAATTTCTCCAGAAAAAGAATTCTCAAGAAAAGAGAAAGGATTTGCAGAATACAATTCTCTCACATAACTCACTTTTGCAAAAATACTTGAATTTTAACAATACGTTTTGAGCTAAATCTTTGGAATTTTAGAAAACAAATTGAAGGTAAGACAAAAAGGACCTTTTCTTGTCTATAAAAATTCTACATGCATAATTTTTTCAAAAATGCTTATACAGTAACTTAAAAATCTTTGTATAATGCTTTGAAATTATGGAACAAATTGAGTAAAATCACAAAATAAGGTAAGATAATTTGCCTCTAACACTGCAAAACATTCATGCATCAGTGGGGTCTGCATATAACAAAATCAACTTATTGTAACAAAATCTTCGATTTTCAAACCATTATTTCCAATGAGTCATACTGTGGTTTCAAGAGTTATTTTTATCCATAACAAGCAGTCACTATAATCAAGATCAATTATACAACATCCTCAAAAACTTGGGCTCCGTTCAACACCAAATTCATAGATTTTCGGATTCATAGACACTATGAATCCGAAAAAAAATTCCTGCGTAATATTCGAATACTGACTAGAGGCATGGAATGGAAAGATTATGATTCCTCTACAATACTGCAGTACAGCAAATGTAAAGTAAAATCCATATGAAGGTTCAAGCATCCGTACATCACCACACTACATGACTGCAGGTCCAGCGTCGCATGGGTTATGACTTCAAGCGACATCTAGTCAATGTCGAAAAAGACGTTCAACTCCGATCGTGCAATTTGAACACCTCATGACGCTCTCTTCAATTCTCCCCCTTTCGTTGTTCCGATACAGTACAGTACCGTACTGCATTATATTCCAGGTATGACTCGCCAAGCCGTATTGCAAACACGCAAACACCAGTTCGGCATGATTCGACCCAGAAACGAACTAGTACTGCGTCTACGAGACATGCTCAGGTGCAACATGAAGGACTACCCGTTACACGTCGTCAAAGAGAACGTACAACAATTCACAGCCAGTCTCGGGTTCCAAAAGGCGAGCAAACTGCTCCCGATCATCGATCAAATGATCTTGGAAGCTGACGCAGCCGGGATGCTCAAGTATTGGACCAACACTGCGGTTCTCGGTC